GTAAAAACATGTTTAATTGCACGTAAAATCCCATATCTTTTTATAAGAAATAAATAAGTAACAACGGAGTGCATAATAATCTCTCCGTCCAGCTAGTCCGCAGTTGCATCTACTTGAGTGTTCAATGCATATAAAAAGGTTCTCCTTCTGCCAAAATTAAGTTGAAGTAAAGTATCAATCAGAAGCTCCGACATTTCGGTTTGAATTTGATTGAGGGGCTAATTACAATTAGAAATCTGTATCATTTCAAAATTCCAATGGGACCGAATGATTCAAACTGGAAGGTGCCATCCTACAAAAGACTGGAAGAACTGTTGAAGAAGCAGTTTAGTTCGTCAGTCAATCATGTTCAAGTTGGCTTTATTGATGACACCATGAGTTATGAGCTGTACGATGCTGCTCGTGATGAGAATGGAGATGCAAGTAAATTTCTAGACGTCTTGGAGAGAGTAAGCACAGAAAAACAACTGGATTGTCCCACCATCTTACATCAAGCCACTCCCACGGGTGATTCGTTGCTGCATGTTGCAGCTGAACATGGAGAACAAGGATCGCAGAGCTGCTTGTTGATAATTTTTTGCTGATTGTGACAAACATAAAAAAAGACACAGCGCTTCATGTTGCCGCAAGAGCTAAAAAAATTGGAGTGATGAGAGTCATCTTGTCCAAGTTTTATGATGCTAGCAGTAAGGATAACTTTATCATGTTGCCCAACAAGTTTGGGATAGAGCTCTGCACGAAGCTATTCTGAGCAAACATTGCGAGGGGTTTGATTTCCTGCTAAGTGAGCAAAATGAAAGTACTTGGCCACTCTATTGGCACACCCACCCAGCAGACTCACCAATATACATGGCATTCCAAACTGGCGATGTTGAAATTCTTCGTCGTCTCTTGCAGATTCCTTTTCCCTCAGACAGGATCATTTATAAGAGTCAGGGAAACTCTCCACTTTTTGCCGCCATATCAGAACGCAATATTGGTATGTGTATATATGGGGATGCCAAATTAATTAATTGATCAATGTGCTGATTTTCTGATTGTCATGTCAATTTTTTTTTTAATTATATGTTTAAATATTATTTACTTCATCTAAATAGCTTAAACCTTGGTTAGACGTAATCCAGATTTTATATATTCAATTAAAATTAATTTTAGAATTACAAAACATGATTTTTTTTTCTTTAATACTTCATCAACTATTTTGTATGGGCTTGTACTTTTATTTTACAGCTTTGGAAGCCTCGTGTTCACAGTTTTTATTTTTCTCTCTTCTTTATTCTCTCCCTTTTCTTTCATCGTTCCTTTGGTTTCCTTTTTTGCTTGCTTTTAGTCTCACGCCCCAAAACAGAGGATGACCAGCACAAGATATATCAAAAAATCTTTCGATTTTAAAACATAATTGCATTTGTATCGAGATTATAATATACTTAATAATAATAATAATAATAATAATAATAATAATAATAAATATTATAACAAAAGATTGAATATTTTTGTAGAAATTTCGACAAAACCTCCCCTACAAATAAGATCTCCTGAAAATCCTACAACACAATATTTTACACAAAATATAGTTTCAATCAGGAGTTTAGCTCCTTCAACTAGCAGACAACATATAACAAAATAGAAATATAGATATAAGCTACATGGAGCACCAAACCTCACTTTCCAAAATAAAATACATGAGTTTAAATATTTACATCAAAAGGGAAATAATGCTAGGCAAAATTTCACCCAGAATAGTTGTGTGCCCTTCAGAAGTCAATAGTAGGATCAACGTCAGCTAATGAGTCTGAGACCAAAATAAATTTTCAGTGAATAGCATCCCAACAATAAGTTATTAAATAAGTATAAAAGTAAGGTTTAAAATAATTATGTATGCCAGAGATGACTATTTTTACAAACAAATATTTGATAAACTTCAACATAAAAGAACTCTATGTAAATTTAAATAAAATCCTGATTCATGAAAGCCTCATATCAAATGTCATTATCATTTATTTTCAATAAAGCTAATAACTGCGCTAAATAATTATAAATATGTCATTAATCAAAATCAATGAAAAACAAGTTCATCAAACAATTTAAAACTCATATTTATAGGGACTTATCAGAACAAGTAATAAACGTGGACACACAGTCCACAAGAGTAAATAATCAAACGCGGCTTATGCCATGAAACAAACGTGGAGTCACAGTCCACAAAAGCAAGTAACCAAATGCAGCCGAAGTCATGAAACAAACGTGGACACATAGTTCACGAGGGTAATACAAACCAAACGTAGCTCAAAGCCACGAAATCAAACGTGAGTACGATGCTCATGAATAACCATCCCTCCGTTCCACATGCGTTGGCCATCGCACGAGACTAGCACCTCCTATAAACACCCTGCTAGCTAGGTATACCATGGGGCGCTAAGGGCTAACGGAACTGCCGTTAGCAATCAGTGTTCTGTATAAAGTCCCCTTCCAATCTATCTTCAAACATGCGAGAAAATCATTACTTCCACAATAAAATTTTCATTTTCAAAGTCAAACTCGCATGAATCATTGTCTATATCAATCCAATGTTTGATAGAATAAAATCTCATAATTAAAGTCCAAACTTGTATTTATTAATTAATTAAAATCTCAAAACTGATAAAGGCAATTTCACAAAATAAAGTTTAATAAACAAACTATTCAATAACCATATCGTTGTTACTAAAACAATTTGCATAAAAATGTACTGTTGTAGTAAAGGAAATCTTTATTGAAAAATCAGTTGGAACGCTATCCACTTACCTAAAATGCTTTCAAACACGCAAATTACTCCTAATCAGTTGGTTTTGTAATATCGTCCAGTTCTTAATTCCCTAACAGCCAAGTGATATTATTGTTATTTCTTTTATACATTTTGCAAATCCAAACCTTTAAAATAATTTAGAGGAAAAAAAAATAAAATCTCCAATCTGTCATCATTCATAATAAAATTATGTGTTGAGTTTAGTCAATGAACCTAGAATACCTGTATAAGCAATACTCAAAGTTTCTAAGTCTTCTTATAGAAAATAGATAACTTCTATTATGACTCATTCCACTTGCCTTAACCTCCTCCTTTCCAAATTTCCATGAAATACATTATATATATATCTCAAGGTTACTATAAGAACAAGCAAACCTGATCCTTAAATTTTCAATCACATATTCTTTCCAAAATTCTCTAAATTCAGCTCTACTTCTTTTGTAAAGAATAGGTGCCTTCCATGACTTTAACTAACAACGGTACAACATCTTATGTATTTTGTTACCATAATCAAGATTTCTCCTAATAAATATTTTACTAAACACCTTATATGCATTAGTTCATAACTAAACTTTTAAGTTCTTTCTCTTCAAATCTCCTTATAATAGATAATAGGATTTTATAAGACTTCCTACGATTTCAATAAACTTCCTTCTAACATTGACAAAACAATATATATCTATAATAAATTTGAAATTACCCAAATTTTATTACTCTATTAATCCAAAATACTTCTGTGACCCATTTGATCGAATACCTAAAATGCACACCAAAAATAAATCTTAAAACATCACTATAGTTTATAATTATGAGCCATACAACTCTCTAGAGCTCAATTAGCTATACATTAGTTCCATAATCAGCGATTTCTAGTAATACTCAAGCCAACTCACGAATAAATATTATCCAAACCATTTATACTTCTTGCAAGAAATAATAGAATCTCACATATCATATAAGCTAACAAAACTCCCCCTAACAAGCGCTTTATCAAACAGCTTATAGGCATAATTTTTAAATTACTACCAAGCTTCTTCCCTTTGAATTCCATTTCCCAAAATTCTCCAATATCAATCTTGAAATAACTACGCTCCTCCAAATTATCTCATACCCACATAATAGTCTCAATTAAAGAGGAAATTAAAAATCCAAAATCAGCATCACTCTAATCAGCTTTTACGCACAGCAAAGGGGAAGGGAAGTGGAATCTCAACTCAACAAGAATTGAGGAATGAACAGCACAACTTGTAGCATCCCCACAGCAATTCGACGACTGCAAAACAAGCAAAGAAGGGAACACTACCACACGAAAATGAAGAAGGAAGGAGAAATCAAAGAACAGAGGGGCTGTGCGGTTTTTTTTTTTTTTTTTACCGTCAGAAATGCTGTAACAGCAGCAAACGCTGACCAAGATGCACCAGCGACGGACATAGCGGCGTCGCAAGACATGTAGAGGTCTGGTCAAGTTGCTACTCCAAGAGAAAGAGAAGGCGTGGCAGTAAAACAGAGAGAAGAGAGAAGAAGACTCAGCTGTTACACGAAAATAGGAAAAGCAAAGGATTGACGGCGAAGGGGAGCAGCGGCAGTCACGACGCCCACGCACAACCACGCTGGTGATGAACTACAATTCGAGGATGATAGCAGAGGACAGAGGTTTGAAGCTTCTAGACACCTAAGGCTCTCTTGCCCTCTCAATAAAACCTAACGCACGATCTGAATTGAGGAAGGAAAGAGGAAAATAAATATCTGATGGTATTGGATAAAAAAATAATTTTGAAAGCTGGAGTAAAATGAAAATAAGAAAAATAGCTATCAAGATTGGAAGACTAGACCTTTAAATACACACTATTAATGATTTCCACCAAGCTACCAACTTAACTTGTTAAGTCTACTCCAAAGATTAATAAAAATATATTTAAAGTATCTAATTATAAATTTTAATTTATCTTAATAATTATTAATAATAATAATTTTTTTTTGGATCATTACATTTACTCTTTGTTTTTGTCCATTTTTTTTCTTTTTCTTTGCATCCTGGGTCGAGTCATGTCAAATGTTTTATATCAAGTATGTTTGATGATTGATTACTTCACCAAAATTTTTTGAACCACTTGGTTAAACTATATATCAAGTTTTATATATTTCTAATCTACTTTTTAATTACCAAATGTGTTAATTCTTTTTTCTTTTTAATATAACCTACTTTCAATTATATATGAAATGTGTTCTTTTATCTGTAGCTGTTTTGAAGGAGATAGTAGACAAAAAAGAAGAGTTGATGTTCCTCACTGATGAAGATGGAAACACACCCCTTCATTATGCAGCGTTCACTGGTTATGTGGAAGGTGTTCGTGAACTTTTAAACAAATCCACCCTTGTCGCCTTTCAACGAAACTCAAAAAGTAATCTTCCGATTCACTTTGCTTGCGGTAAGGGCCATATTCAGGTGGTTGAAGAATTGTTACGCGTACAAGGGCCTCGTGCAAGCTTTTCACTCAATAATGAAGGTCGAAACATTCTTCACATTGCATCCATGAGAGGAAAAAGCAAGATGGTAAAATACCTATTGAAGCACCCGAAGATCAATTCCAAAACTGTGAATGAGAAAGACCTGCTAAATGGAGACACCCCACTGCATCTGGCTTCAAGAAAGTTGTATCTTTGGACTTTAGACCATCTATCACGAGACAAAAGAATAATAGTGAACCTTGTAAATGACCAAGGTTTAACAGCTATTGATATTATCCGAAGCCAAAGTAAATTTCCAATGACTCGTATAGAGGTATTTTGAAGTATCTTTATACCCAATATTTTTTTTAATAATCTCTTTCTTTTTCTAACAGGTTTTGATTTTAGAAAAATTGCAGTTTTATAAAAGATTACGACACGTAACCACCTACTTGCTTGATTTGATCACCTTGCAGCTAGGAGCATGTATGATTCTAATATATGCTGGTGCCTCACTCAAACATAATAATAAGCTGAGACCAAAACGTGTAGTGAATAAAGAATGGAATGAGAATGATGGGGCCAACACCCTCATAATTGTGGCCGTACTGGTAGCCACAGTGACATTTGCTGCTGGTTTTACAATACCAGGTGGGGTATACAGTTCGGATGACCCCGTCCCTAAAAAAAGAGGCATAGCAGTATTGAGTGATCAAACCCTGTTTAAAATATTTATGACTTTCAACACCATTGCTATGTATTGCTCCACTTTCGGTACTATTCTTCTTCTTTGGAGGCATTTGCCTGATCGACGTGTTTCAATACGAGCATATCATATCTCCAAAATTTTTGTCCAATTGGCTCTTGGAACCATGCCAGTGGCATTTGTGGCTGCCATACTTTTGGTTGTCAGAAATGATAGCTTTCTTGCATATCTTACAAGTATCATTGCATTCATCTTCGTTTTCGTTATACTACTACTTGGCCTTCTAGGATATTTTCCTACGAGATCAATTAGCCTTCCAGTTTTCCGACAAGTTGGACTTCTTCTTCTTTGGTTTGGCATTATTTTATTTTATGGGAGTAAGGATGGTGTATTTTATTTTGGTGAAATCCCACAAGACGATGACAACGCCACGCAAGAGAAGAACCGTGTCACCTAGTGTCCTTGTGCCGATGATCACCCTGGTATTGTAGAACCCAGTTGAAAACTTTCTCAGTAGTTATGTAATTAATGTTTTGTTCAACTCTTCAGTTTATTTTATTTTGGATACATTCCCCAATATTAAAAATAATGCTCTTCGTTCAGAACATCAGCAAGTAAGTGGAAGAGAGTTGAGCTCACAATCAAATATCTAGTCCAACTATTGTGAACGATGGCAAATTTTCTTTTTTTTTAACAGTTGAAGTTAATAAGAATCGTATGATAGTATATTTATTTTTATTTGAGTTTATATATGTTATAATAGATAGACTACTACTTATTTTATTATTGTAAATTGCAGAAGATGATACAACATGGGTGCATGTTGTGCCTACAATTTCACCCAACTTTGAAGATGAGGCACTTAAAGATAAAATGTTACACATTAGTGCTATGACTTGAGAATCATTAAAATATTTAGGACATTTTTTTATTTTTCATTTTTAAATATTTAGATACAATTTCTTGTGTAATTTTGTAGAATATTTATTGTTCTCATTATGCATGACTTCTTAATAAGGTGACTTATTTAATTGAATTATTTTAAAAAATTTTGGTTATTTTTCTGCCTTGGCAAAATCTCACTTTTGGATTCACTCAAGTTTTCTTCTTTATACTATTAGATTGATATTGCTCATTAATATTTATACTATTTTTCTTGCTTTTTGAGTTGCAAAATAACTTATCAGAGACATTATATAATCAATCAAGTAATTTTGTTCAACTTGTAAAGGTCCAGGATACTTGAGTCACCTAGCTACTTGTTTGTTGGGATGAACGTTACGACCTCACTTGGTAATCATTTTTCTTTTTTTTTCTTTCTTCTTTCTTTTTTGATAAAAGAATCATTTGATCCCACTTTTTGACTCGCAGATATGGTCACTTTTGATGGGGATGGTAATGTCATGTCTAAACGGCCATAAAATCATAATATCTAATCATTCATTAAGCCATTTTAAAATCAATCATTGCCATTATAGTAAGTAAACAAGAATATTTAGTCATACTAATAACACTGCAAAACAGACATATACACTAGACAGGACTTCAACCTAATCCAAAGTATGATCTCTTGAAATTTCCTAATTACAATCTCAATGACCAAAGACACAATCTGGCCACTCATCAACCTCATAAGAGCAAATTACAGTTCTGCCAATTATTATAATTTCAATGCCACATCACACTAGGCCTTCCTCAAACAGAGGCAAAATAAAGTTTTTATTTAAACAAGTGGTCTGATCATATACATTAAACAAATTGCAAGGACTTGAATCGGCTTATGGACCTTGTGCAACACAATAAACAAATTACAAGGAATACGATAAACAATTATGCCAAGAGGATTTGAATTGGTTTGTGGACTTGAAAAGCCACTGTATTCGAATCACATCAACTCTTATACAAAACATTCTTTCCTCCTTGTGAAGAAGAGAGAGAAGAAAAAACATACCAAAAGAAATAAAGTAAGTTGGTGCTGTTTATCTAAAACTGAAACCACGCTATTATTTTAACTTGTAATAACTAATAAATATGCATGAGTTGAAAGACAACTACGCATCTAAAAAGCACTGAAAGCAATTTGTTTCTTTCCAATGAAATATACTCTTTAATAATGACCAGTGAACAAACTCAGACCCTGAAACCATATGTGCTTCTTCCATCATCTTCATCTTTTTATGAGAATTTATGGAACTTATATAACCTACATACATACCTATTTTGTTTCTATATTTTGTCTTGGTTGCAGCCGTATTTTTTTTCCCCCTTTGGGACAAAGCAGCCATACATTTTTAGAACTACGTTTCAATAGCTTCCCATAGGATGACTTAAAAAAAAAAAAAAATCAAACAGAAACAATTAAGTTATTTGTTGGTTTTTCAACACTTTTATCAAGAAGTTGGTTTGGTTTGATTTTCCTGTTAATATTTACTGAAATATACTCTTTACTTCAATGATGTTGATGTGTTAAAAACAGAGTAAAGTGCTAAAATTTTAGACTTAATAGCAATAGAACCAAACTCCGTGGCTGAAAAAGATGACAAGGTGCCAAGGAAAGCACATATTCAATAGTAATTTTGATAAAATAAAAACTTGCTCTTGTATTTAATTGGAATACTATTCATTTACGTGAAGTACATCCAAGATCAAAACTTACTCCTTACAACTTGTTTCCAATTCCACTTCCTCCAAATATCCTAATAATATAAAGAAATTCTAATAGCCTTTACTCAAATCAAATGAATTTGCTCTCAACATTTATATAATCATTTTCAACTTGAATAATCCAAAGATTTTTCCAAACATTATCGTCTATATCGCCAAGTTTCTACATAATACTTTAACTATAATTAACTATTCCATAGGGATATAACTTCTTCTTAGGCATTGTATCAAACACATAGTGTGCGTAATTTTCCAGCCTAATCAATAAGGCTTTTTAACCTTTAATCTCTTGCCCAATAAATTCCCAAACATCCACAATTGAACTCATCATGCTTTTCCAATCAAATTCCTCATCAAGATTAATTTAAACCCAAGAAGAAAATATTCAAAACCATACTATCATCACTTAGCTTTTAATACGAAAATTGTCAGCTTGATTCAACTAGCCCTCCCTATACAAACACGAACAGCCACAACACAAGAAGAAGAATTACAACTTCAGCATCTAAAACCCACACCCACCAACAAACAGAACCAACATGGAGGAGGGAATCGAGAACCCTCACCTCAGATCACGAAGGCAGAAGCACAAAGAAGAGGAAGTTGCAGAACAGATATGGAGAGAGAAGGAGCTCCGACGACGCAAAGTAGAACCAGTGAATGACCGAAGGCAACACAGGGAACCAAGAACTCGCAACCCACAATCTGCAGCGGCATATTCACATGATCACGGAGCAGGGGAAAAACAAGAAATCACGGTGCTGAAGAAGACACCATAGCAAAGCTGCAACTCGGCCAACTCTGGCCGATGACCGTCAGAACAGTGAAGGAAGAAGGAAGAAGTCGAAGGTTTTGGCGGAGGGTTCCTGTTCGAAGCTCTGTCTCTCTCAACTTAGGCGGATCAAAGAAAAAAGATCGGGGAAGAAGAAAAGTATCGAATGATGGTATAAGGGGAATATGGTAATTTCACAAGATTAAGATAAAAATAAAATCCTTCTTTAAGCCGATAAGACACTAGCTCAAATTTCTTTTTGATGTACGTATTTCTTTTTGATAAATCTATTCCAGAATTAATAAAAATGCAAATAAATTTTTAAAATATTTTGTTACAAATTTTAATTCTTACAGAAGTTTTTGGATTATTACAAGAGCTATCAGCTCAACTTCGTTTTTGTAAAACCAATTATATAATGTGTACTGTAGTTTATATTTTAATATTTTGTTATTTTTGTAATTTGGATAATAGTTGGAAAAGGAGAACAAGTGGATTTTTGTTTGTAAGTGGGACATTATTACGATTAATGACCTTGGGCTACTTTTTATATTTAAATTTTAAAATTTGTTGCAATTCTTGTAATTTGCCTAGTATTGAACAAGAGGGACATATGACGTGGAGTTGTTGGATTCGATTACTTTACGTTATACATTTGAAAAGTGAATTTACACTTTTAAAAATATTGTTTGGTTAATAAATTTCACCCACATTAACTTTTGGAAGAGCGCATTCAAACAATCATGAAAGTGAATTTTCAAAACGTGATGGATTGAAGGTTCTGAAAAGGGCATTCAACTTTTTCACTTTTATTTTATGATCTCTACATTCAAATGCTTCAGGTTTTAAAAAAAAATTAAAATTAAAATTAAAATTGATTACAAAATAATCCTTACTTGGCACTTGGTAGACTGATAAGTCAAAGTGTTTGTTTAAGATGATATTTTGATCTTTTCTATAGGTAAACAAATACATTGGTAATTTTCAATATTAATATATATTGAACTATTTATTTTATAATTAATATATATTGAACTGTTTATTATATAATTTTCTTCAAGATATCAAACTTTATATTTTTTATTCTTATATATCAAATTTTATATTATTTAAAATTTTTATCACATTTTTTAAACATTTTTAATATATTATATTTGTATAATAAAAAATTAAAATTATCATAAATCAATACCTTTTTTAGTAATTGTATATTTAAAAGCATATTTTATTATATATAATTGAAATAATTTTTAGTTTATCAAATTAACTTTTAAAAAAAATTATTTAAACACAAGTTCCATTATAACAATTAATTTTTACTAAATTAATTTTTGCTAACTTTTAACAATTAAACTTTTTATAAATTAAAAATCAAACATATACTAAAAGCAATTTACACCACATGCAGCCAACGTAATACATGTTTCGTTTGCTTTGTATTTATAAGCTTTTATAATGGAAAGAAAATTGTCCTCCATCAAAAATATTTCATAAAGCTGTCAATAGAAACTTAAAGAAAATCAAATATTTAATCCCTATACGTTCCAGTTAGTAGAAGAGAGAAAATATGAAAGTTGTAATGATGAGTAAATCAGCTCGTATTACACTGTGCTAGACGTACACACACACACATAGAGCACTACATCCCGATAGTGCTTGGTGAGAAAGGCAACAGAAAAGAATGGCACGGTGCACCTGTCAAAGAAACACATAAATCATGGTATTGAAAACCGGACCGGACCGGCCGGGTCAACCCGGAAACCGGTGAACCGGTCCCCTGTCCGGTCTGGGTTTGCACTTAACCCGGTGAGGGAGTGAACCGGTGTAACCCGGTCAACCCGGGTTCAACCCGGTATAACCCGGATAACCCGGTGGGTTGACTGGGTTAACCGGGTTAATATTTTTTCAGACTTTTACCCCAAAACGACGTCGTTTTTGATTTTTTTTTTCATTTTTAATTTTTCACAGCTCTGAGTTCGGAAAAAATAACAAAAAAAAGTAAAATTAAAGTTAAAAAATAAAAAATTAGAAATAGAGCATGCTAAGTCCAAAAATATAGTATTTTATTATTGTTAGACTTTTGAGTGGTTGGATTTGGTTGAATGTTTTTATAATTAATGTCTTTTTATTTAAATTGTATTATTTTAATCATGACCGGTTTGCCACCGGTTCAACCCCCGGTTCAACCCTGATTGAACCACTAACCCGTGACCCAGTGCCATGACCGGTTTAATGACCGGTCCGGTTTTACGTACCTTGACATAAATACACAAAATAAATATCTCATAATATCCATATTTTAGGTCATGTTTGGTTAATAAAAAAGAAGGTAACAAAAATGAATAAAATCAAAAAGAATAGAAAGGAATGGAATGATCATAACTATAAATTTGTTTGCTAGAGTACTTAAGTAGGTAGGAATGGAGTTTATTTATATTATTTGTTTAAATATAAATTAAAATAAAAAGATCACAGCTATATTATTTCTTACATTAATGCATTTGCCTTATTTTCTTTTTGTTCAAGAGTTTTTCAGAGGCCTTTAGCTTAAATTCATACTCACACGCGCAATGTTCTTAAAAAAATTAAATTATTTTAAATTTTAATTTTAATTTATTAGAGAAAAATATTAAGAAAGATATATAAAATACCATACACAGGGTATCACATTTAAAATTTGATTAAATTCAAAAACTTCTTTTGAAAAATATTTTTTATGAGATTAGAAATATTCTAAAGAGAAGATAATAAATACAATTAAAACTAAAAAATTAATAAATTTAATTTTTTTAAGAAAAATCAACTTAAAAAATTAGAAAATTGACTATTGGAAAAATTGAAAAAAAAATAATAGAGGAAAATAGGCTAGATATGAAAGGTTAACAAGAAAATTTTGGTAAAAACATATTAAATTCAACGTGGGTGATATGATTCCTTTCATTTTTCAAAGGCTTGTCCATTTTTAAAAATATCCATGCCAACCAAATATAGGTAAGGTTGGAATGGAGATATGATTATCATTTTATAGGTCAAAATTCCTGTAACCAAAAGTGACCCTAGTATCTTCTTCATGCATGACTGAGCTGTGATGATGTGATTGGGCCAGATATATTGGACTGGATCAAGGGAATATTGGAGCGATTCATAGACATCCTTCTTACAAGTTCCAGAGCTTTTTTTTTTTTTTTCTCTCTCTCTCTCTTTTTGTCATAACTTACGTTCCGGAGTTCAAATCAAGTTAATTTCCAGCTGGCTTTTGTCAATGCGGTTCATTACTTGTTGGTGAAACATTTGAGCACAGTTTTCAAATGCTGTAAAGGGAAAAAAAAAAATATTCAGGTTACTTGGAAATTTAGTTTGACTTCCCTTGATCAACACAAAATATGTTATCATATGGAATATTAAATTTCACCCCTTTTAAATGAAATGACAATTAATGATGCTACAATAAGATGATAACAACGACAAATGATTTTCATAATATGCATTTGTGCCTGAATACATGCTGCATCTCTTTTAATGTAATATGTACATTAAATTAATCATACACAAAAAGAATTATACATGAAAGCTACCCAACTTGAAATTTTTTTTAAATAATTTTATAACCAACTAGAAGTTGAAGTGATCTTGTCACTCCATTTTGTCAAGCATGGGAGCTGAATAAAGAAAAAGGTACTTGCATCATTCAGATTATGGTAAATCACATAAGCCCAGAGTAACCCCTAATTTTGGAGATTTTCATAAATAGTAACCAACGAACTTGCAAGTTAATGTGCATCACTCACTGTCAAATTTTAATATGAAAAAACATATTGGTATCATTGCAAATGAGACCTTACCATAGTGCATTTGGGAGTTTAAGATTGAATAGAAAGGAATAGTCATTAATGAAACGGAACGGAATGGAGCGAAGTGAGGTGGAATAAATCAAAATTTTTATTGTTTGAGAGTCTTATGATGGGAATGGATGGTTTAACATGATTATTATTTGGGAGTTATTACAAAATGAATAGAACGGATTAGTTTAAAACTCTTTTCTTCTAATATTACCCATATGACTAAATTTAAAAAAATAATAATGCCTATTAAATAATTATAATATTTATGCAACAAAAAAATAATAATAATTAAAATTAACAATCAAACAAGATGCTCAATAATTAAGAATAAAAAGATAAAAATAACAGAATTATTTAAGCAAACATTCATGTTGCATCAGAGGAAAACACAGTAGAGTCATAGTGTTATACTCAATAATTAAGAATAAAAAGATAAAAAATAACAGAATTATTTAAGCAAACATTCATGTTGCATCAGAGGAAAACACAGTAGAGTCATAGTAGAGAGAGATAGGGAGAGAGAGAGATAGAGAGAGAGAGATGACGAGAGGATGAGAGATATGACGAGAGGTAGGCTATACACTATGCATGAATAATTGATCAGCCCGGCCTTGTTCAAAGCATTCGGGCATATGGGGCCAGGCATTATCAGGGAGTCAAACCTTACCCTTTCTGAACATATGCAAGTTTTTTTAATTTTTTTTAATTTTTTGTGAATAACATTTATCTTATGGCATTATTTTTTTAAGTCATTATAAATTATATTATTTTTATGATATTTTAGACATTTTTCATCATTACAATTTTTTAAATCTCTTTCAAATTTCAAAATTTATATTTGACTTGTTATTGTGTAAAAATAATTGGCATTTGTTGTTTATTTGAACTTTTAAAAAATTACTTTTGATTCTAATATTAATTTTATGAGGAATATATTTTAAATAATAATATTTTTTGTCAAGGAAAACTTTTTTATATATTTTTCAAAAACCATATGTAAAAATATTTTCTAATCAATTAGGCCAATTTGGTGCCAAACTGCACCAGGCTGGGTATTAGGCAGGGGTGATACCTAGATCAACCTTGCCCATGTGCAATCCTAGTAGGAGGAGAGAAAGATAGTTGGAGAATGAAAATAATAGATAATTTTTTTTAATTAGGATAGAAGGTTGGAGGTAATTTTGTAAATGAAATAATTATATTGTGTCACTCCATCCTTGAGCCCTAAATTTGTGGGGACAAAAAAATATTGAGTTATGAATATCAAAGAAAGGCTTTAGAAGCCCTTCCTTACCATTCCATCCTTCTTTAA